AATATACTTATTACCACCCATTTCACAATCTGCACACAAATAATCTTTTTCAAATTTGAGTATCAGAAGACCACAAACTAAATCACCAAGAACAAGTTTATTAATATCTTTTAACTTCATATGTGATAACCTTCGATGTTAAACCCAACTGTCATAAACTTTATCTTTCGTAAGTAGACATATGGATGGTTTCCCTTCAATTGGTTTCATTTCCAAATGATATATTTCTCCAATTCTCTTTAAACTCAACAAAACCTTCTTAGATTCTATATGTCATATCTCCAAACCCATTTCATCAAAACACTGATTAGATTGTGTTGTAACCCTTTTAGACATGCTACCTTTCTTATTGTGAATTCTCAATTTGTAATCGCTCCATATCCTATAATTTCCCCAATTGCATTGTTTATATATTTTACACGCCCAACGTCTTTTAAACTACAAAACTCTAGTATTTTTTATTTCCTCCGAGTCATGTGACGTGAACAGCCATTATCGATATACCATTCAGAATCATATTGTTCGTCATGAATCACCTACAAAGTTCACCAATTTAGGAACTCAAACCTTTTTGGGCCCTCATGAGGATTGCGATTTGGAATTATTGAATGGAAACTTGGTCTTATCAATCCAACAAGTTTTCATAATCGGAATATCATTCACATTTTTCACAATTTTGAAATCTTTTGTCTTTTTATCATACATATTAATTTCCATAAAAGGTCTTTGATTTTGAATAAAAGCTCTTGCCTTTAGAATCAACTCTTTGAATAACCCTTTTCTTTTTCATTATGTTTTGAAACAACTTTATTTGGATCAAGTTTTTGTTTCACAATTCCTTTTGGTTACACTTTTGTTGTATAAGAATTTGGACCAACTTGTGCTTTAGTTTTCCCAAACTTTTGTGAATGATTCTTCTGATTAGAAAATCTTTACGAATTGTTAGAATTTGAATTATTTGAATGAGATTTTGAGCATGAACATGAACAAGAAACTTTTTGGGATTTATCAAAATAATGAACGTTTAAATTTCCTAATTTCTCATATTGTTTCTAAGAGTTCTTCATATCTTGAAAATTTTTCTTGTATCTAGCTCTCCTAGCTTGATCAATCTCTTGTTATCCTTTTTTATCTTAATTTCATGATCAATCATCTTAGATTTCCATTCAAGATCATTCATCTTAGATATCTCTTTTAGAATTGGTTTTAAATTTCCTTCATCAGAATTTCCTAAGACAACTTGCGATGAGAGTTAGGACACACCCCCCCTTTCCTCTCTTTCACATGAAGATTTAACCCACTAGAAGTTTTCTACGAAAAACCTACTGTTTCATCACCATTATCTATTGGAACAGACCAAAATTGGTTATCATAAGATTTAGGATTATCAATCTCAACAATACTGGTCAAATCAATAGTATTAGTCTTATGTAGGCCTTTCGTAACAAAAACTTGATTAGGAGTACTTTTGAATTTCGGAAAAACAACTACCTTTTCAATCAAACTTTCAACTCTTTTGTTTTAAACAATATTTCAAATTCAAGAGATTCGTTAACAATTAATTTCCTTTTTGGTTTTAATCAGTTAACAAAAAGTTTGAACAGTCGGTTTCACCTTCTACCAAAATTTCACTGATTTCACTTTCATCAAAATCATATTCAATTTCAAAACTCTAAGATTCATCACAATTCAACTTATTACATAACAAGATATGATTATCAATAGAGTTCTTTTGAATTTGTATATTATCATCTTCAGAGAAGGTATCTTTCATCATTTCCTTAATTTCCTTGTTTTTTAAAAACTCTTCTACCTTTTCCAAACCAGCTCTATAATCTTTGCTTAAAGATTCATTTGATGAAACCAAAGATTCACATTCATAACACACAACATCTATTTCTTTTTCCCAGAACTTTAAAAATGTTAACATACTTATATGTATTTGTTCATAAATTTCATAATTATGAGAAAGTTGTGTGATTTTAGAACACAAATGATTTGCAGTCTGACAAATCATGTTCTGTTGTTTCATTAACATCCTGTTGTCATTTTTCAACACACACACACACATCATCTATTATTCTTACAGTATCAACTTCTAATTTATTTATCTTATTTTTTGTCTCATCACTCCTAAATGTGCACCTGCTATGATCATCATCATGATTAGTCACTCTTCTCCTGTTCCCTCTTAGACTTTCACTTAATTTTGAAATAGTATCATGTAATTCAATCAATTTCATCATTATACGAGAAGCATAAGTATCTAAAGATTTGAGAATAGAATGTACCTTGTTGATTACCTTCTCACAAGTCTGACATGATCATCAATACTCTTTGCATAAAAGCATGAATCATGTGAGTTTCGATCTGAATCTACACCACCTTCAAAATTGTAGTAGGACCATCAGAGTTTGTTCTCTTTACCATGAGGCATCTTCTCTCCTTTTTACCAACACAAGCATTAGTGTAATAACTCGAATTTCCGTTTTCGTCAAAGGTTAGTTTTCGTTATGTGTCCATGTTAAGTTTACCTTTTGGTGTGGTTAAAGTTAATGTTTGATGGCTAAAGTGTAAGAAAACGATTCTTGATCATGTATATGGATCATTGGGTCATTTCTCAAACTTTAGCGTCCTAGAATGAAATTTATCAAGTATTTAAGAAAGCTTAACCCTAAAAGTCCGGGATTAACATCATATTACAGTCATCAAACCATATTTTGTAGCCTCTAAACTCACTTTGAGAGAGTTCTTAAGTGTGTTTTTTATTTTGGTCAAAAATTAACAAACTAATTTTGTAACCAAATTAGTAAGTGTGGAGTGATTTTTGAAATAAGGTAAATAAAAGCAAAATGCTTATGATATAGAGATGTGTCAAAGATCATGGTTGTGCCCAAGATCCTAGGTAGAAAAATGTGATGCTTAGAAAAGTGTTTGGTTAACATGTAATATTTCATAATATGAATAAGTATGTTTTTGTACAAATAATGTTTAAGAGATTCAATAAGTAAATTTGAACAATAAAGTTCAAGATACTAAAAGTATACTAAGATACCATAATATACCTTTGCGATTTTAGCAATGTAAACATATGAATAAACAAATCAATGAAGGAAAAAATTGTTTTTTTTTCAAACAAAAGCATATAAATACAGTAAATGCAAGAACACAGTGGGTTATGAGGAAATCTCTTAATCCTTTTGGATCTCAGGTATAAAACCTCTGGAGGTGATGAAATCACCTTCCTTATAACTTATATTTAAGTGAATCATGTTACAGGTCATAGCTGATCTTAGTAATAAAGTGAATGTGCTCAAGTGTCGAGAGAATTAGAGAAGAACTAGCAGTGCAAGTGTGTTGTGTGCATCGATAAGCTAGTCTTTATATATTTAACAATAATAACTATAATTCAAACATTATTAGGATTCTACTTGATCTTTGTTTGTCTTGGATTTCACGAGGGTCTTCAACGTTCATGAAGCATCTACCATGTGTAGTTTGACTTGGTCTATTCCTTTTTTATAGAGCCTTAAGGTCCTACATAACACGCTGGCAGTCCAAGATATTAATTAAATCCAAGATCTTGGGCTCGCCCAGGATGTTAGTATAATTTCAAGATATAAAAATAGTAAGTAAAAATTTCTACTCACAACATTTGCCCCAAAAAATCTCTAATACATGATCCAGGGAGATTGAAGATTTCTTAAATTTGATGATGAATTATGTTGATGTGACGTTGCCTATGTTTCTAGGGTCTACCTCATCCTTCGATTATCCTAGGAAGTTTGAATTTTGAATGGTCGAGATTTGTGTCCGCTAAAATTCTTCTAAACCCTTTGCATTCTTTTCTTCTATCGGTCCTTCCATGAGCATCAGGGTTTTATTATTGATTCCGTAGGTAATCGCTTTCTTTCCTTTTCTCATTTGATTCTTTCTTTGTTTAATCATTAGCAAAAGACTCGTTCGAGCTAGGGCTAGATATGAGAAACCTTTCATTAAGGATTTCATAGACTTAGGGTTACTCCCTGATAATGATAGCAACGTTAGCAGTATCTCAAATGCAGATACCGACTTGCTTCAATTGTAAGGAAAGTTTCCTCAAGGTATCGTCTTCAAGGTTCATGTGTCATCTTTGAGAACATATTATTTTTCATTGTCTTGGATTTGTTTCTATGATTTTCCTTTTTCCCTCAGTCTATCCTTTCCTTTCCCTTCATTAATTTCAGAGTTTTTCTAAATTACCCAACTTGCTTATGCCGAAGTCATGCCAGTTACATGGCATATCTTGTTTTGGATTCATCACTTTAATGAAACTGAAGGTTTAAACCTTAATTTATGTGAAATCGGGTAGTGTCTATAATCTCCACACTTTTGGTTATTCTCATGTGTATTTCAAAGTGAAGACTGGTAAATCTCATTTAGTCTTAAAACTTTCTCCTATGGATCATGACTAGAAAGGGAGATACTTTTTTGTTAAGACTAGTTCTCTTGGACAAAACCTTCCTGCCAAAGATTGGCTAACCGAGGGTAAGGATTCTATATTTTGGGGTTTCTTTACTTTGTACTTTCCTTTAGTACTGACATTTACCTTTTAATCCTATATAGTTCTAAAGTTTGATGAGCTTTGTCCTCCTCAAGGGGAAACTAAAGAGAAGGTCCAAGAATTTTCGGGGCTTCAAACGGAAAAATAAAGTTTTGGTGCAGTAGAAGCTTGTATTTTTGGGAATCTTAGTTCATCCATTGCAGTTAAAGATCCAAAATCAACCATGTCCACATATATTTTGCAATACATCCTTTATTTATACTATTCCTATGTTGACATTATCTTTATATAGGTGTAAGGCAGACTTGTTCAGGTGCTCTCCTCAACTCTTCTTTCAATGTAGACGACTTCCTGTCTATATATCCTTTTGTGAAAGTTGAGAAACCTGCCACTATAGGTACAAGAAAATTGGAGAGAAAGGCAAAAAGTCACGATCCCAAGACACAAAAAATTCACTATGGAGGTGGATCAAGAAGTGTTTGAGGGATTCAATCCTTTCGAGGTCAAGCAGAAAGTGATTATGCTTGTTCAGTCTGTAACTTTTATGTTCACCCTTTTTATATATTTTCACTAGTATTTCGTCATTGTAGTTTTTGGGGTTTAGGCTACTACTTTAGGCTACCAAGAAGCAGTTTGAGCAGGACAAGAAGCGGAAGGATAAAGAACTTATGTTGAAGGTGAAGGAGCTTACTGGTAAGAGGGAAAAACTAGAGAGGGTAACAGAAGAACAAGGTTGATTCTTAGGATAATGTAAAGTGGAAACAAGCTTTGAGGAATCTGAAGGGTGAAGGGAAAGATGATGCAAAGGTTGGTGAAGAGAACGTCGAGGAGCAGGATGTTGAGGGTCCGAAGAAGGGTGAGGATGTAATTCCTTGATGTGTTTAACTTTATCTCTTTCTGGGTGTTTTGGAAAATTATTTTGGCCATGTTTATAAGATATTTTATGGTATGTAATAGTTGATCTAGGTTATGCGTATATCAGACATACATGGTACTTTCCCTTTGAATGATGATGGGTAGAAAAATAATTTTTCGTTTTCAAGATATCTTTGAGAATAATTTCCTATGTCATAGTTCAAAAAGAAGAATATTTTTCTAAGAAAAATAGTAAATTCAGATATGTCTAAAATTAAATTCTTAGTCCCACCATTGAAAAATGATTTTTGAGGAGAAATGTTTTTAGGAGCAAAATATGAAAACATTTAATCTATGAAACGATGTTGAATGATAAGGTATTAGTGAGTGAAAAATAAATTTTCAAGCGAAGGTTTTGGTTTAAAAACATAATATATTTTGAAAGGGAGAGGATTCATGATGGTAAGCTTGTAATAGGTTTAACAAAGCCAATAATAAATAGAAGATAATCTTAAACATAAATCCAAATATATTTGAAGGATTGCGTACCTCATGTCCGTCAGGACCAAGTCATCTTGTGCCAAGTATTTCTCAAATATTATCTTGGAATGATATCTTGGACAGAGGATACTTTGTTTGATGTCTTAGGATAATATCTTGGGATGCCCCTACTGTTTTAAATCTTTGATTTCGATTTTATATCTTATATTCAGATGTCTTTATATTTTTTTAGCTTAGTGAACATGACCATGTCCAAACCAATTGACAACATAAAATGTTGAATATACTGGGATAACCTCATCCTAGAATTTTTCCCTTGGGATTTTCCACATCCTTGGGAAGTTCCCTTGTGTTTAATTTTAACATGTCAATGTTAAGTGTGTAGGTATAAGTTCTCGGTTGTGTTGCACGCCTGTGTCATTGCATTGATTCTTTCTTAAGTTCTAGCAGATAGTTAGTAATATGGAGGTTGTCAGTTACTAAAGTGTAAGTCGATCCCTATATCCTTTGACTATTACTAGAATTGGTGCGTCCAAGCGAGGTGTCTCAATCTAATCTCATAGAAAGACGTTAGTCTTTAAACCTTAGAAGGTTTTCTTGGATACCTTGGATCTTAGGAGGGTTGATCAGTCCTTAGTATTTCGGTCAAGATCTTCGGTGTCTACAAAACAAATATCCAAGGTAAAGGGTGGGTGTTAGCTTAACTAACACCCCTCTGATGCTTAATTCATTATCAAGAATGAGAATATATAAATGATAATTAAAATCAGAAAGAAAAACATACATGAATATCTTTGACCAAGATCTTGTGCTTAGGCAAAATAGGTCTTATGATGTATAGGATTCAAGGATCTTGGTAATATTTAACCATCTACAGTAGATAGCCAATATGCCCCCTTTTCAGCTTCTGAATCTTTAAGGTAAGGACCTTCCCATTTCGGAGCAAGTTTCCCTGCACTATGTTCACCGATAATTTGGAAAACCTTACTAAGGACAATATCTCCTACTTGGAATCTTCTTATTCTGATATTCTTGTTGTTAGATTTGGCAATCCTTTGCTGATATGCTACTATTCTTATCTTGGCAAGATTCTTATGTTCGTCCACCATGTCAAGATCTTCAGCCAGGATCCTATCATTTTCTTCTTGGTTGCGGAATCTTGTACTAGCTGTAAGAATCATAACTTTTGAGGTAATCACTGCCTCAGTCCCAAATACCAAAAAATATTGTGTTTATCCTGTCGAATTCTTGGATGTGTCCTAATTGGCCCAAAGAACGAAGCGTAATCCTTCAGCCCCATATTCCTCTCTTTTTTGTGAATCTTTTCTTTAAGTTATTGACTATGATCTTATTCCTTGACTCATCTTGCCATTTTCTTGAGGATGAACATGTGTAGAAGTGATCATCTTGATTCCCCAACTTGAACAGAAGTTTTGTGTTATTTTACCTATAAATTAAGATCCATTATCACATATAAATTCAGATGGGATACCAAACATGGGCATTAGATTGCTCTTGATGAAGTATATCACTTCTTTTTCTCTAACTTGGACAGATGTCTCAACAAACATCCATTTGGAGAAGTAGTTAGTCATTTCTAACATGAAAAATTTACCACATGGTGTTATGGGAAGTTTGCCAACAATTTCCATCCCCCATCTCATGAATGGCCATGGAGATATAATTCGATGTAAAGGTTCATCTAGTTGGTGCAAGATATTGTTATGTCTTTGGCATACATCACATTTTTGATCATACTACATTGCATCTTTGTTCATTGTTGGCAAGTAGTATCATGTCCTCAAGGTCTTGGAGAAAAGTGACATCTCCTTCATGAATTTATCTGAGGATGTTTTTGGCCTCATTATCTTCAAGACACCTAAGATATGGACATGTTTCCGATTTTGTAAACAGGTTATCTTCCATGATATTGAACATGGAAGCTTTTATTTAGAAGGTTCTTGGATTTTTCTCATTTTTTGGGACAGATCCATCTTTGAGGTATCGGAATATAGGTGAGATACAAGATCTTTCAGCATCAAGATCTTTGTGTCTAAGATCTTGTACATATGCCACTTCTTCTTTTATGTCTTCTATTGTGGGTATAATGACATAAGTTATTGGAATCCTAATATCAGGATGAATCTTGAAGGCAGAGCCAAGATTGGATGATGCATCCGGTTTTGTGTTATCCTCTCTAGGTACTTGTTTTATGTGAAATCTTGGAACTTGGATGCCAAGTTCTTTACTATCTTCAAAATATGAATTTAGTTTTTTGTTCTTTACTGCATATTATCCATTAAGTTGGTTAGTAACTAATAATGAATCCATATGTACCTAAAATATTTTGGTCCCAAGATCTTGAGCAATTTGTAAACCCAAGATCTGTGCTTCATATTCTGCCTCATTGTTAGTTTCTTGAAAATCACAAGTTACTACATGCGGTATAATATCCACTTGTGGAGATTTTAGTACGACTCCAAGGCCCGATCCTTTAGAATTTGAAGCTCCATTTGTAAAGAGGGTCCACTTATTTTGTTCTTCTTTATATTTAAGCCACTGAACTTCTTTCTCGGCATCAGGTCGAAGATCCAAACTGAAGCAAGCACAAAGTCTGCTAATACCTGTGATTTTATGGCCGATCTTGGCTTGTATCTTAAGTTATATGTACTTAATTATACATACCACTTGGCCATTCCCCCCTAACATCTGAGGTCCTATATACCGTGAGTTTAATTTGCCTCGTTTCCCGAATTGAATTACGCCTTTCCAAGGAGAGACCTTCAACATTACTTTATCTCAACTTGGAATTCTAAAGGCTTACGTCTTACGTCAACATAGCTCTTTTGACGATCACGTGCAACCTGTAATCGATCCTTAATTTGCACGATCTTTTCAGTTGTTTCGTGGATTATTTCTGGTCCAGTACGTAAGGTATCGCCTGTACGTTCTCTTGCCATCTGCGTCTCTCCAAATTCTGCCCAACATATTGGGGAACGACATTTTCGTCCATAAAGAGACTCAAACGGTGCAGCCTTGATGCTGGTGTGATGACTATTGTTGTAGGAAAACTCAATTAACGGTAAATAAGTATCCCATGCATTTCCAAAGTCTATTACACAGGGTCGGAGCATATCTTCTAAAGTCTGAATGGTTCTCTCACTCTGACCATCAGTCTGTGGATGGTAAGCTTTACTCATATCTAGACGTGTTCCTAAGGATTTTTGTAGAGATTGTCAAAATCGTGAAGTGAATCTACTATCTCAGTCAGAAATAATAGAATTTGGAACTCCATGCAATCTGACAATTTCCTTAAGATAAATTCTAGTCAGCTTCTCCATCTTTTCGTTCTCTTTAATTGGTAAGAAATGGGCAGACTTAGTCAATCTATCGACTATTACCCAAATAGTGTCGAACCCACTTGGAGTTTTAGGTAACTTAGTGATGAAGTCCATTGATATCTGCTCCCATTTCCATTCAGGTATTTCCGGTTGTTGAAGTAAACCTGAAGGCTTTTGATGTTCTGCCTTTACTCTAGAACAAGTCAAACATTTGCTCACATAAGTAGCAATTTCTGCCTTCATGTTTGGCCACCAATAATGTACTTTTAAATCTAAGTACATTTTGTCAGAACCTGGATGCACATAATATCTGGACTTGTGGGCTTCTTCTAAGACCAAGTCCCTGACTCCACCGAACTTAGGCGTCCAAATTCGGTTCATAAAGTGTCGCGTTCCGTCATCTTTTTGTATAAGTTCCTTTTCCATTCCTCGCAAAGCTTCGTTCTTGATGTTTTCTTCTTTTAGAGCCTGAAGTTGAGCTTCTCTAATTTGTGCGGTAAAGTTAGAATGGATAGTTATGGTTAATGCTCGTACCCGATGGGGTTTAATATATTCTTTCCGGCTCAAGGCATCTGCTACCACGTTTGCCTTTCCGGGATGATAATGAATCTCACATTCGTAATCATTAAACAATTCGACCCATCTTCATTGTCTCATATTAAGATCTTTTTGGTTGAAGATGTGCTGGAGACTCTTGTGGTCGGTAAAAATAGTACACTTAGTACCGTATAAGTAATGTCTCCAAATTTTTAGTGCAAAAACTACAGCTCCCAATTCAAGATCATGGGTAGTGTAATTATTCTCATGCACCTTAAGTTGTCGTGACGCATAGGCGATAACTTTTCCTCTTTGTATCAACACACATCCCAATCCTTGATTTGATGCGTCGCAGTATACGATGAATTCTTCTGTCCCATCTGGAAGGGATAGGATTGGTGCACTACACAACATTTGCTTCAGTTTCTGAAAAGCAGCTTCTTGTTTGTCTTCCCAGTTGAACTTCGTATTCTTCTGGGTTAGTGTTGTAAGTAGTTGAACTTCGTATTCTTCTGGGTTAGTGTTGTAAGCGGCTTGGCTATTTTGGAGAAATTCTCTATGAATCTACGATAATAGGCAGCAAGTCCTAGGAATTGACGCACTTCTGTTGGTGTCTTCGGTGCTTCCCAATTCCTAATCGCT